GCCACTTGAGCCACAGGCGCCGAGCCGACAATTATGTTCTTGAACTTGTGCTATAAAAGTACTACATACCTCATTGATGAATATCATTATGGCCACTTTGGAGGTGCTCCCCTGTTGAATTTCGGGGTCAATAATATGACCATTTATAGGTAAATCTCTTAAAATATATCTTAATTGTTATCGAGTTAGATCCTATAAGAGAGCATGAAAATGCTAGGAATATGATATTTGGGATAATTTTTTATTTATTTGGTGCTATAACTGAGATATGAACAAGTAAAAAAAGGAACTTAAAAGCATTATTTTGAAATAATTGCCTTTTGATCTTTTAACAACAGTTCAATGTTTAAGTAACTATAAGTTGTAAATGTGAATTTTTCCTATTATGGACAAGAGAATGTTAATATTTTATCAGCAAAAAACTCCATAAAATTAGTTGTGGTTGGGCGGCACCTGTGGCTCAAAGGAGTAGGGCGTCAGCCCCATATGCTGGAGGTGGCGGGTTCAAACCCAGCCCCAGCCAAAAACAGCAAAAAAAAGAAAAAAAAATAGTTGTGGTTATTGTCACGGATATGCTGTCCTTATTTTCTTATTATAGACATGGATTTTAGTTATAATAATCATTGTTGAGATGTAATTCTAAAATTTAATATAAACTGCTTATACTTAATATAGAAAACTATATTGAGATGTTTAGAGGTAATATGTTTTTATAAAAGTGTGTGAGAGCAAATTTTGGGGGTCATGTTTGAGATGCATCATTAAACTGGTACTCTGGTCTCTGTTAAAAAAAAAAAAATGGAGAAGCAAGAATCCAATGTATTCAGTTCTAATATGAAGCCAGTAGATGATCTAATACCCACCCTCAAAAGAGAAAAACTCAATTGTTTGACTTCATACTTGAAATGAGAGCATTCTATGAGAGAGAATAGCTATGCATATGGATAAAAATGCCCCATATTAAATATCATTAGTGTGCTTGGAGCCTGTAGCACAGTGGTTATGGTGCTGACCACATGCACTGAGGCTAGCGGGTCCAAA